TTCCTGAGGTTTTATATGTATGTATTCATAAAATATTGTTGTTCAATACAAATAAATCTCATTTACACTCGGTGGGGTAATCATTACATAAGTTGTTCCGTCGGGATTTTTTTTTTCTGATTTCGTCGAATTCTACGGCGTAGGTCTATGTCTCCGGGACTCATACCGTCTGGGATACGTTATCTTATCGGGAAAAGTATGTTATAGTGTGTTCATGACTAACTGCAAGAGACAGAACAGATTCTCTTGTTCAATATTCTCGTCGGAGAAAACACGATTTTTCGTTAGACCTTAAATCCTGAAAATCTTAGAGAAAAATTATTTCACTACTCGGAGTTCCCAACAGCTGGGTCAAATTGCTCCGACGGCTGGGTTACAAAGCTCGCTACTGGCCCTGCAACTATCAACTAGTACACTTTATGACAAAATGATTCATGCTTCTTGACCAACGAGGGAGGTTTTTCCGACGAAAGGGTCCTTTCCCCCAGACCCCCGCTTGTACTACCACTACATCTCATCCGCAAAAATTATACATTGATAATCGCGCAGAAGGCAGAAGCCTTCAATAAAGTCCACCGCAGAATAATAATGATAATAAAAATAAACATTCTATCAACGAGTGTGTATGTTCGCATTCCGGTCAATTTAATGTAACCACAATAGTGTCAAGACATTTCGTGGACGTGTTTTCTTCTTTACAGGACTTGCATGGGTATCAGCAGAGTAAACTGAAAACATGTCTTTGTTATATTCTTGGAATACTGACAGTTGGGATGCTCTTTTTGATTTTCTACTGGAAACCAGAATGGAGGGTAAAGGCCATGTCCACGCGGAGTTCACTTCAGGACGCCGATACCATCATCCTAAAGGTATGATTCGACCTAGATTCTTTTTCTGGTTTCAATACTTGTTCAGTTGCAACCACATCTAAATGTAATTATCCTCACTTTATGGTTAGACATAGATTTAATCATCATCATCATCATTATCATCATCATTATTATTATGTACTACCATCACCATCATTATTGGCATCATCATCAATACAATTTTCATGATATTGTCATCATTATTGTCACTCAGCACGTTCACATAAGATATTGTGATAAATCATGATCTATTCATCATGATAACTTTAGCATGTTAGAGAAAACCGTTCATACAGAAACCATCATCATGATCTATTTTTGCTAATGTGTTGCATAGAAACTACAAGATCAACCAATAGGTTGGGACCTACCAGAAGCACAACCAATGAGGTTGGGACCTGTTTAATAAATTGAAGGCTGATTGGTTGAATTCGATTTCATGAATTAATTTATCACGTTAACCAAGGTTAATCATGATGAATCAACATGCTCCACTGGATCACAATAAGGTGATTAAGCTGAGCACGTTATTTGATTCAGGTTGGTTCACATAAAATGACTGGCTTGATCATGATCCACTAGATCACTACGTTAAATTCTCATCATCATCATCATCATCATCATCATCATCATCATCATCATCATCATCATCATCATCATCCTCATCATTAGGCCCTCGTTATCATCAGCATCATCATAATCCTCCTCATCCTCATCTATTAAATGTATCCAAACAAAAGCCCGTATATATAAATATTTTTGGTATCAATGGTGTAGATTACACAATTAAAATGTTATCCCACTTGCAGCACACCTGCGAGAGTGTCATATGACATAAAAACAATAATAAAACTAGGTTTAAGCAGGTAGTCGTCCATATGTTGTTGTTATCCTCACTACAACAACTTCAGGCGCCGGATCCAGACCTTAGCACGGGTGTCTAGAAACCAGAGACCCAGTACTGGAGAACCACTCGAAAACAGAGACCTACATAGGGTCTTTTTCTCGTTATGTCTAGGCAAGGAGGTATTTTTATTTTTATACCTCCTTGGTCTAGGTCTCTGTTTTCAAATGCCGGGTCTCTCTGTTTTCTTATGGATCTACCCCTGTTGATAATATTGTTGTTCATTTGATTGATTGCAGCACAAACCCCTACTTAACAGAACGTTATTTTCTAAAAAAAATTAACATGCTCTATCATGTTAGTTGATCAGGCACAGTTCAAATGCAAATATATTCCATTGCTTAAGGACAGACACATTTTCAAAAATTGAAGAATCCACTCATAGACAAATGACTTCCCGCTCTCCCAAATCTAGTTTCATAGAGCCTTAGACGTATGCAACACTATAGCTAACAAGAAATATTTCCTATAAAAAACCTGTACGACCGGTTTGTATTTTCAAACTTAATAAAATAACATATTTTTGAGGATAACCTACCATCTTCAATGCATTTCTGTTAAGGTTGACACATAAACATAAAAAGCCTACAGGTACAGGAATTGGTTTACGATAGTAGCCACTGTGTTATTTACATTACGGTCACATGATTAAAGTAATAAAAACTATACAGTAATGTATATTAGAAATGTGGAAAGTATAAAATACATAAACCAGTGTATGTATGGGCTATGGTGCAGGCCACCATAACTAGACTTGTTGTTTTTTGTATTCAATTAAAAAAAAAAATTAATTATTTTTATTTATTCTGCTGGCTGGGTTGGACGAGTTATTTAAATACACTCCACTATGCCATGGCCAATTTTATGCTTCATCTTTAGTTTGTGTGGCTACTTTTTCGGATTGTCAATGCATTTTGTACGTACGACGTTAGACCACGGTACCGTACGCTATCTCAGCGGCAAACCTAACCTTCTTTATCTTTGAGATATCGTACGGCACCACCTCTCGTCACAATATGCGGCTTAACCTAGCCTAGATAGGCTGGCCCTTGGATGCCTAGGCCTGGGCTAGTGTCAGTTTATGTGGTTATTATTATCGACTTGTCAATGCATAGGGCCTACGTACGTACGACGATAGAGCCAAATAAACTTTCGTGTACGATAATTTAATTACAACTCCCTGACAATAATTATATGATAGTGTAGGCCTATACTAGGCGCGTTGCCAAAATAGAGCATTTGACAGGAATTCTCATTTTATTTCGTAACCATCGCTTTGGCTTGATTCACGAGTTTCGCATGCTCAATTGTCGCATAAAAAAAGTTTTTTCCCATTTTTAGTTCATACCCTCCTCGCAGACGTCGTTTGGTAGTAACGCATGCTCAATGATTTCATGAGACGTCGTTTGGTAATATTGCACATGCTCGACAACGTCACTTAGAGGTAGGAAATTGAAAATAATCCATAACTTGCAGCGTCATTGTGCTGGATTGCGTATGGGCGTGGTCCGTGACTACCTAGCAGCCGTAGAGAGGCGCTTCTTGGTAGATACATGTTCTCATCATTCCACAACGACAGGGGCTGAAATGAACCATAACACAGGCCCGTATCCAGGGGAGGGAGGTGCGTTGGGTGCTCGCCACTCGGAAACTCGACTTACTCAGTGTGCATCTCACTGTCTGTCTAGCATTCCCCAGCGCATGCTCACTGTGTTTTACATAGATACTTAGGAGACGTTCTTTGGTAATTTCGCATTGCTTATTTCGGAATTTTTATTTCTACAGTAAATGCTACCGCTACATACAGTGTCTTGGTGACTGTTTCCTCTTGTTCGTAGCAGCCTAAAGGTGCGGCACGAAAACTTTAGTATTAATGCTGGTACTGTATCTTTAAAAGATGGTGAACTATTAAATTTGAAAGCATGTATAAATATAATAATCAACGACATCTATTAAGAACACCAATTAAATACCATTTTAGCATCAATCCATCCTGCACAGCCTGGTGCAAGTCATGAAAAAAAAATGTTTTTATTTTATTTATTCGTTTCCTTTATCGATGTTTAGCTTCCATTTTTATTTCATACTTTGTAGTTAATATAAATTGTAATATATTTTTCTTATTCGTATTTATTTATTAATTCTGTATGTTTTGGCTGGCCATTGTTATTGCTTAGGTGATAACAGGGCTGGGAATGTCATGTGACGCGATCCACCCAATCACACGCGCGTTTCGGTATTTAGTTAGGCTTACTTATACTAATTAATCTCTGTATCCTTTGAATTTATTCAATGTTCAGGTATTTACGTAGGCTTACTTCATGCTACAGCATAATGCACTAAAAACACTTTTGAAAACATATTTCTGAAGCAATTGAAATATCACAAGTTTTACAAATATTTCTTTAACAAATATCAAAGTCCATCCATTGCAACTGCGCTCGTAATTACTTGTATAAAATATTGTAGAAAGTCATTAAAATAAGCCGAATCTACTTTGCCGAACCCACAAATGATAACTGATATGCACTTCTCTATACTGTACATGCTCGATGATTGTCCTCCAATATTAACGCTATACAACCTAAATTTCATAAAGAACTATAGTCTACTCATACCCACATTGCCCGATCCGTTTTAAGTTTATCTGTAGCACGTCCGCGTTATATATATAATTTCTGGCTTTTTACCCACTCAAATTTCGTGACCCCATGAACCACAATCTAAAATATCCAGCTAGATACGTCACTGATCTAAGCACACTGGCCGCCCGTATTTGCAAGTTGGGTTTCGGCAAATTGGACTCGGCAATCTGGGATTCGGCAAACTGGGTTTCGGCAACTGGTAGGATATACCTTCGTGGCTGCACACTGACAAAAGGAACTTTGGTTGTTCTCTGTCCCCAGCCATGGGTTCGCATGCTTGCGTTAATCCCAGCACATGACTCAAGCATACCGTGCCGTAATCATCATCATCATTATCATCATCATTTTTATTTTTTTAATTTTTAATAAATTTCTCACTCGCAAATATAGAGTAGTGACTGAAGCGACCCAACAGACTCTACAGCGGCACACTCCTTATGACTAAATACAAAAAAAGATCATCAAACAAAAAATCCGCTCTGAGATCGTCTTGTCGTTAGGGGAATTCGTCCCTAGTCCCCATTTGTGAGAGTGTCAGCATTAGCTCTGGGTCTGCGCGTGGCAACTCTCTGGTTTACCATGGAATAGGTTAATTGGTTTACAAACACCGGGTTGACGTAATTCACTCAAAAATTGAAAACGTGCAGGCTGTTGCCAATCATGAATTTATTCCAAGGTCAATATTACCGGTAAAGGAAACTACTATTTTTCAAACAATAAAGTTGTTAAAAAGAAACGGATACTATTACATCGAATCTATTGATATACAATGTGTTTATTGATTACTCCATTACCAACAGTCAATAGATAGGGCCTAGGCCTATTATGTATTTGTACTTGTTTCTACAAATATTGATAAAATGTACGTTAACAGGCAATAAACATCAAAGCACGGCTATTAATTGATTGTATGTGATAAAAACAAATTCATAATTTATTAATGTTATTTGTCAAAATATTGATCAGACAAAAAGGAAGTTGTCCTTTACCTTAATAGGCATGATATGCTCAAAAGATGACGTGAAATATAATAATGCTAAGGTTCTGTCAAGGAAAAATGAAAATAAGAATAGGCCAAGATGATGAAACCTCCTATCATTGCAATCATTTTGTTTGTTACAGTTTATCTGATATATAATTGATGTTAAGAGCTCAAAACCCCACTTGGACACTGACGTGATAATAATAATGAAAATGACGAATATGATAATGATATGACGATAATGCTGATGATGATGAGGATGATGATGCAGATGCTGAAGACGTTGACGAAGATAATGTTGATGCTAATAATAATAATTATTCTCCACCCATTTTGAATAATTAATTTAATAATTACAAAGGCAGTAGCAACTGCACTTCTAACATTGAGCATTAAGATCAATTTTTTGTGTTTCATTAACTATTAAAAGCTGAATTTTTCTCTCTATAAGATGTTTGTCCATGTTAAAGGAATAAGAAAAAAATACAATATATATATAT